TTAGTGCCTTAGTTCTTTCGCCTTGCTTTAGATTTTATGGATACTTAGTTTACAACAGTGGTATGTTGGTAAATGTTTAACAACTGGTTGGTTCCTGGTTCTTGGGGGAAACTTGTACATACGGCACACTTTACAATTTAATCAGCATTATTTACATTTTCTTCATCACTTTTTAAAGTCTACACAATCAACAGAACAGGAAATCAAGTCCTGTTGCATCTGTTTGCTGATTTACAAGGTATAAATGTTCACACTGAAAATTTAACAATTAGCTCTTGATAGGTGATTCGGGGCTGGCTCTAGCTACCTCTAGTTTAAAGACGCAAATAATTAAAGAGAACACACCATGTGTAACCACTCAAATGGCTCTATTCTTCCTGATCAGAATACCTTTGGGGAAATTGTGTCCTTGTGGGGAGGAGAGCAGTCATTGCTCAGAGTGCCTGACACTGTGACCTTTCCCCATTCCCTTCCATTTTACCAAGTACTTCCTTGAATAAAGATATCTTCCTCTTGGATCAGGAAATAAGGCTGCATTTCCCAAGGTTACTTGGATTGGTATTTGGATATTCCCTTGAGCCAATCTTAAATCTGTTCATCTATGTCTTGCTAATAAGAGCCATTCATGCTGAGAGTTTCTCTTCTCAGGGAGTTTAAAACTAAGCCTCTTCTCACCCATCATTGATCTTAGAGATTAATACAATATTTGTCTTTGACTAATAAGCTTTTGGCAACAGTCTCTAATAACCAGATATTACTAAAGTGTCCCACACTAGGTATATTCTTAAATGGGTATGTAAAAGTTTCTTCCAAAGAATGTCATATTCTTGAGGGCAAAGATTGATTCATTTTTGTCTTCATAACTCCAGCACCTGGTGCACTGCCTGAACAAAGTAGGTACATAACAAATACTTGTTGAAAGAAGGAAACACACATTCATCAAACATCTACTATGTGTCAGGTAACGTACTGGATGTTTTACAAAGATTATCTTGAAGCAACCTTGGGAAAGTAGGTACTATTAGTACCCCCCTTTTAGAGTTGAGGAAACTGAGGCAAAGAGAAGTTAAATATAAAATGCTTGTTTCTTTTCCTTCCCTACTTAAATGTGAGTTTTTTTTCCTATTATGGCTGACTGTGTTTATGTGATTGAAAAGAGAGAAGGGCTGGTTATATAGTAAGAGTAAGGGATAGCAGATGGACATCCTGCGAGTTGACCTGGGATTTATGAAGTATTGTAAGAACCAGAGGAAGAACTAATAATAAAAGGGTAATATAGAAGCATGCTGGTGAATGTTTAGCAATTGGGCTCTGTGGGGGAAAATGTATATACACACTTTAAGTTTTAAGCTGTATTGCTTTTTTTCTGTAATGATTCAATGTACCTTAAACATAAAAGACACCTATATTGCTCTATTATCATCACTTGAACTTAGCCCAAGGAATTGGAGGCTCAGGAAATTAAGTTATCACCAGACTGGAGGTTAATTAATAATAATAATTAATAATAACTGGCATTCATATAGTCTTTTACTTTATATCCCCTTATCTCATTTGTCCTGTTTATATATCTATGCCTTCATAGTTTGGAAATAGCTGCATTGGATGATTTCAGAAAAACATGGGAAGACTTGTTATATACTGATGCAAAGTGGAAGGAGCAGAACCAGGAAATGTTGTACACAGTAACAGCATGTAAGGATGATCAACTGTAAGGGTGTTTTAGCTATTCCAATCAGGACAATGATCCAAGAAAACTCCAAAGGACCCATGATAAAAAAAAATGCTTTATACCTCCAGAGAGACAACTGGTGAACTCTAAGTGCAGATTGAAACATTTTTTTAATTTTTCTTTTATTTCTTATTTTTGTGTGTATGTGTTTTGTTTTGCAACATGGTTATTATGGAAATATGTTTTGCATGACTTTGCATGTGTAATTGATATCATATTGTTTGGCTTATCAAGAGGTTGGGGAGGGAGGGAGGGAGAAAATTTAGAACTCAAAATTTAAAAAAAATGAATGTTGAAATATTTTTTTTGCATGTTATTGGGAAATATTTAACAAACCAAAAAAAATTACGAAAAGTTCAAGCCTCATTATTAACACTTTCTTAAATCTAGACAATAAACAAAACAAAAAAACCAAATCCTGATTTATAGTGATTGCCAATTACTGAAAATTTAACTACTGCCTCTCAGCAAGCTATTTAGAGCTGGCTTCATTCCCTTTCACCTCTCCTTTACATGTTGTCTCTTTCCTAGAATGCAAGGTTCTCGAGGGCCAGGACTATATTATCTGCTTTTATGTGTATCCTCATGGCTTAGCACTGTGCCTTGTACATAATTGCTTAATACACGCTTTATCATTCATTATTCACCAAACACTTCAAGAAAGTTTGAGGAGGGAGGGAGCACATTCAGGGAAAACATCATAGAGGAGGTGGTATCTGAGCCGAACCTTCAAGGAAGAGAAGGATCCAGAAAGGTAGATAAAAAAGTAGAATTTTCTTGACATAGGAGAATGGTCAGCAGGAATTCAAGGAGGCAAGAAGGGGCATACTGGATGCGATTTGGTTAGAACATGGAGTAACATGAAATAAAGCTGTAAATGAAGCTTGGAGCCAGTTGGTGGAGATCCCTACATGTCAGGCAATGGAATTTACATTTTATCCCAGAAGCAATGAGGATCCCTTGTGAGATTTTGAGCAAAGGAGTGACAAAATCAGTCTTGTGCTTTAGACAGGTTAAGACTAGCATGGGAGAAGAGATAAATCAGCGGTAAGGAGATCAGTTAGGAGGTTATAAAAGTCCAAGTGAGTGGTTATGAGGATCTGAACAATGATGACTACTCTGTGAGTGAAGTAAAAGTGACGTCTTCAGGAGATGTTATGGAGTTAGAATTCATAAAACATGGCAACTGATTGGATATGGGAGTGGTGGTGAAGGAGAAGGTTGAAAGTAAAAAAAAAAGATGCTTAGTTGTTGAGCTTTTGTGATTGGGAAGATGATTCCATCAACAGAAATAGCAAAGTTGGAACAAGAAGATTGAGGGGTGGTAGAGATGAAAGGTTTAGTTTTGGAATTGAGGGGTGTTGACTCCAAGTTTTCTAGCCACTGGTAGGGATGTTAAGTCATTAATGTAGAAGGAAGAGATTTTTTTTTTCTGGGGTGGGGGATGAGTTTGTTTTCTGAGATGCTGAAGTTAGAACAAAACACATTGTCCGTCTATCCATCAATCAGTCAACAAGCATTTTTTAATGTGCCTGTTCTATGCCAGGCACCATACTAGAAATTGCCAATACCATCACAAAAATGAAGCAATCCTTACTAATAGTTCCTGGCACATAATATGCACTTAAGAAATGTTTGTTGATTATTATAAATAAATAAAATAAAATAAAAACAAAACCCAATATCAGTTTTTAAAAACTTATGATTTCTTTCTTGAAAAAAAAAGTCTAGAATTCCAACCTCTCCTCCTATTGAGTTCAGTTCTTAGAAAGATATTAAGATTCAAGAAAATAAGTTAAATGGACTTGGAGTACATCTCTGATCCTCCTGGTGGGATATCTTCTTAGAATTGTTGCCAAGCTTGGCATCCAGGATGAGAACAAAGAACACAATGCAGGCACTCCCCTATGAGTAGGTAAGCTCCTTGAAGTCAGGAGCTGTTTTTCATTTTTGTCTCCCCTCCAGCTCTTAGCACAGCGCCTTGTGCATTGCAGGTGTTTAGTAGATGCTTGTTGGATTGGATTAGTCAGCCTAATTCAGTCAACAATAAAAAATAAATTAGGTATTAAAATTAAGAAAATGCATGAGGATTCCTTGCCAGCAGCTGTAAATTCTCGGTCTAACCCTTGCAGTATTTAATACGGCTGTCTTGAATTTGTTGCTATGCCATCAACCTACCACTGTGATGTGGCATGAGAGCTAAAGAAAAGTTGACTTAGCAGCCATAATGATCTTCTTCAAATGCTTTTTCAGACATGGTCTCTTTATGAGAGCCAGCAGGGTACCATTCAGAGAGCACTTGACTTAGAGACAGAAGACCTGGGTTTGAGTCCTAGCCTGGATGATGAATAGATACACAACTCTGAGCAAATTGCTGACATCACTGAGATTCCTTTTCTTCATTTGGAAAATAGGGATAATAGGGAGGCAGGGTGGACTCAGGCCTGCAGTACTGGATTTGTAGTCAGATGAGCTGGTTTCAAAGCTCATCTGATACTTCCCGCCTATGTGACTTTGACAAGTCAATTCCTCTCTGGGTCTCAGTGTCCTTATCTGTAAAATAAAGGGGCTAGAATAGTTGATAAGTTCCTCTCTTGCTCTAAATACTATGGCTACCTTATTGTGAGGAAAGTGCCTTGTGAACCTTCAAATATAATATTATTCACATGTACATATGAGTACATGCATATGGAAATATATATGTACATATATACTCAGTAAACATGAGCTCTTATTATTGTATCATCTCTATAGATCCTATAGAGCTGATCTTAACTAGTCAATTTGGCCTTTAAAGTCTTCCACCTTGTCATGTCACTAATCTCACTTTCCTTCTTGCTAACTTTGCTTTCTTCTGCATATATTCCTATTGGAGGATCTGTAGTAGTTAATATTTATATAGTGATTTAAGGTAAAGTGCTTTTATATATATTATTTCATTTCATCCTCACAGCAACATGGTAAGATATGTGCTCTTATTATCTCCATTTTACAGATGAGGAAATTGAGACTGAAGGAGATTAAGTGACTTACCCAGGGTCTCACACAACCAGTAAGTATCTGAACTGAATTTGAACTCATCTTCCTGACTCCAGGCCCAGCTCTTTATCTACTGTGCCACCTAATTAGCATGTACAAAGGACAAAGGTAGTGAACAATACATGTAAAGAACATGTGGAGCCAAGAGGTACCTTTCACCTTTTAGCTTTGGGAATCATTTTATCCCTTCAAAGAGACCCTGTTAAGTTTTCTTTTGAGTAAGGTGCTCTGTTGCTCCACTGAGCTGGTTCTTTGCATGATGAGGCTCTTGACAATTGAGTCGATCCATTGCTTGGCTAAGTCAAGCAGGTCACTCGGCTGCTGATACTGACTCTCGCTGGATTTGACTACTTCTGGTCTTGGTTCTACTGGCATTTGCCATTGATTCCACTTGCTGAGGGAACCTCTGATGTCTCTTCTTATCTTTTGACACTCACGAGGTCATAACTCAGTCAATGCTTTCCCCAGATATTCATTGACCTAAGATGAGAAAAGAATAAACATAAAAGAGACAAAAGAATTAGGAGCACCATGTATTCATAGGAATGTAGCTGCTGTATGGGGATTATGGCTTGTTGCTCCCTCACCCAGATGCTCATAGCAGTGTTACTGATACAAAAGCTCCCTGAAAGAGATTGCAAAGTCCTTGGCCCAAAGCTTTTGTATGTAGACTCAATTTTGATTCAGTCTCTCCTCGACTGTAGGTCCTTCTGCCTCTTTAGCCGACCCGTAGACTCTTTACTACTACATAGCTTACATGCCTAGATCTAGGAGAAATCACAGATATGGAGTGCAGGCACATATTGATGCTTTATTATGCATTTGTTTGATGTTTTTATTGCATCTATACTGAGAAAAACATTGTCTGTCATACCGGAATGTGCATCTTTTGGTTGCTATGGGTAGGTAACACCATTATGCCAAAATCAAATGACTAAAGTGCAGCAAAATCTGTTCTCTTTAGGGATGTGCCAAGGGCAAGCTAGTAAGTGAAGGCTTGAAGCTATTCATGTTAGGGAAAGCCACAGTAATCATACTTCATTATCTAGAATCTGATCCTTCCTGTTGAACAGTATCAGGTTAGTGCTTAGCAGCACCATCTAGTGGATAACCATTTCCTAATTAAAATTATTCCAATGGCTCTTTGGACTCTCTTCAGATAACTTAAAAAGCTTATAATTTTTAATTAAAGCATTTTGTCCATTACCTTGAGAGCTAGTAAGAGAAACTATAAATGACACAAATCATTTTATTTTTTGATAGAACTCTATCTTCATTTGTGTGAACATTTTTATTATGAAACACTATTACTCAGTGTCTATGGTTCCCATACTTTTTAATTTCATGAACTGACCTGAGGGCCCTGGTGAACCCCTAAGTTCTGTTTCACTCTTTGTTGCCCTCTCAAAAGAGTCAGTCTTCAGTTTTTCTCATAGGTGATGCTACCACCCCAAAGCATTACAGGATTCTGAAAATTCCAGTCACTCTCAGCACCTATTATAATCCATCTTAAAAACTCTGTGTACAAAAAAGAAACTGAAAACCAGAGAGAGCTTGCTATTTGTTTATTGAGCTGTCTTACAGATTGCCATAGTCATCAATTGAACAAGCATTTAGTAAACAAAAAGTTGGTAAAGAACACAGTACTAGGTGCTGGGGGAGATACAAAATTGAGATTGGTCCCTGGCTTCACTGAGGTGACGATCTTTTTAGAGCTGTGGAGCTCCAGTCCTTAATGCCTCCTTGCACTCTCCTCCCTCCCCTCTACCTAACCCCAGAAGAAAGCATGGGAGAGTAATTTGCCCTGTTCTGCTTTTCATCTAGAGGATAGAACTTAAAATAATGGATGGGAGTTTCAGAGAGACAGATTTTGGCTTGATATTGGGAAAAAACTTCCAAAATCATTAGAGTTGTCCAAAACAAATAGGCTACCCTGGGGAGTAGTGGGCTCCCCTTGCATGGAGGTCTTCAAGCAAAGGTTGGCACCTCTTGTTGGCCATGTTGTAGAGGATATTCTTGCTCAAATATAGGTTGGACCCCATGGCCTCTGAGTTCTCTTTCAATTTTCTTCCTTCCCTCCCTCTGTCTCATCATTTTAAACTCCACCTCTGCCTTCCTTCTTTCCCCCCTCTCTTTCCTCATCCCTTCTTCCCTCCTCTTTCCTTTCTTTTCCTTTCCCTCCCTTTGTCCCTCTCTCCCCTTCTCTTCTTTTTCTCTCCCTCCCTCCCTCCCTCCAATTCTCCCTCCCTCCTTCCTCTATCCCTCTGTTTCTCTTCCTCCCTCCCCCAACCCATCTATCCATTCATCCATCCTTCCTTCCTTCCTTCCTTCCTTCCTTCCTTCCTTCCTTCCTTCCTTCCTTCCTTCCTTCCTTCCTTCCTTCCTTCCTTCCTTCCTTCTTTCCTTCCTTCCTTCCCTCCTCCCTCCCTCCCTCCTTCCTTCCCTTCCTTATTTCTTCCCTTCCTTCCTACCTTTCCCTCCCTCCTATCCTTCTTCCTACCTTTCCCTCCCTCCTCTTGCTATTTTCTTTATCTTTTCCACATCCATGTTCATATTCTTTTGGGAGAAGCCCAACAAGATCCAGGCGGACCCAGGAATGTTAATTTAACACCATTCCATCTATAAGAATTTTTGTGTCTTGTAACTTTGCCATTGAGCCTTCTACTTTTGTTTCTCTAATTTCAAATGTAGGCAAATTTTTCTTAGAGTGAAAAGTTATTGATTTTTAAAAATTTAGTTGAAAAGGGCTAGACATTAATTTAGTGTGCTCTTCTTCTTCATTTAGTGGCCACTTTTCAAAAGGCATAAATAATAATTAAAGAAAAGCTGCTAACCTATTTTATTTTTGGTCACAAGTGAGATTTTGCTGTATTTTGTTCATGAACCCCAGAAAACTCAGGGTGTTTAGAAATTTCACTTTTATTTTCTTGGGTGGGATAAAAAAGCCTACAGTAATAACAGGCATCTTGCAGTTTCAAAACAACCCTGGAGGCGTGATTTGAACATGAAGTACTTTTTATTCATTTTAGAGCTTCAGCTTTACCCATGGGTATGTGCACTGGGATGGGCTTGAGGGACTGTGTTTGGAAAACGTGATGCTTGGCCGTTCATTTTGTTTGAGAGTGGGAAAGTTAGACTTGTCTTTCTAATATGGAAGCTGAGATGAATGGAATTGTTCATCACATTGAAGTAATTGGAAGCCTTGTTTAAAAAAAATTGAGTAGTTACAGGAAATTAGAAATAGGTGATAGAAAATGGCCCTTGCTGATATAGAAAACTTCCAGATAAGGAAACTCCCTCTTCCACTGCAGGTCAGCACCTTCTCTTCAACTTATTGTGTTATTTGCTAGAAGTAAGATTATAAGTTTCATGGCAGATATGGGCTTAGTGAGTTGTCTAGAATTCTAAGTGACTTACTCAGGGTCACACAGCTAGTATATGTCAGAAACAAGTCTTAAGCTGAGGCAAGTAGGTGGCATGGTGGAAAGAGTGTTGGACTTGGAAACAGTAAGACTTTGGCTGTGGATCCTGCCTCTTGCACTTCTTTCAGGTTCAAATCCTGCATCAGATACTTACTACCTACCTGGCCCTGGGCAAGTCACTTATCTTTTTGGAACCTCAATTTTCTTACTTGTAAAGTATTGAAAAATAAAATTTCCTACAGTTGTGGTGAATCTCAAAGCAAAAGGGTTTTGCAAACTGTTGAAATGTCAATTATTATTACAAAGACATGCATTCCAATCCTGACTTAGATACTTAATTGCTGGGCCACCCTGAGTAAGTCATTTAACCTTGTTAGCCTCAGTTCCCTCATTTGTAAAAGGGACTACCTTCAAGGGTTGTTGCGAGGATCAAATGAGATAATATTTGTAAAATACTTTGGAAATCTTGCTATTATTATCATTATAGCCATGACCTTACTTATACAATTGCCATCATCATCATCATCTTCAATGTATAGAAGGGGAGGAAGAGAGAGAGAGAGAGAAAGAGAGAGAGAACCTTGAAGCTAGGAAGAAAAAAAAACTGCTGGGAATATTAACTGTATTTGTTTAGGAGCTTACTAAATTAGATAGGACTCTCAAACAATGATGCTACCCCCCTCTCATTCAGAGATTAGAGGGGAGCTTGTAATAGAGTGCCCCTCCTCAAAAGCAGAAAAGTCATTGAAGTATCTAAAAATGCATCTAAGAGAACAGAAGGAACTTCAAAAGGAAACATAGACAAGAAGTACAGCTTTGAAAATAACATTTGGATTTTTAAAATATATTTTTAGATATAAAAGCAAGCTGTACATATCATAGATTTGCTTGTTGATATAGAATCCTTTTTTATCATTTACTTTATGTATGGAATTCTTTTTTTTTGGAGGTTATTAAATTTAGAATAAAAAAAAACCCTTATGATGTCACAGAATTCAAGGAGGCTTTCTATAGAGGACTGAACACCCAGAATAAGAGGTCACTGGTGAGGATGAATCTGGCTACCATGTGGGATAATTTGTTCAGTGTTAAACAGATTGATGAATTGCTACTGGTTTGGAGCACTGATGGAATCCTGCTTACATAGGGAGTCCACTTGGTTTTAAAAAAAAGCTTTTAAAAAATTCTGAACATAATCACCAAAAAAGGAGAACATTCAATATAAAACTATGAATCTCCATTTTCCAATGTTTGCTTATTATCCAATAAACATCTCCAGTTTGAAAAACATTGACTAAGTGCCTACTATATGCCAGGCACTGTGCTAAAGTCTGGGAATACAATTAATAAAAAGAAAAATAGGCCTTTCCCTCAAAGAGCTTACAATCTAATGGGGAAGGGGAAGTATATAATAAATTTTACATGTTAATTTCAAAACTGTCTGGCTTGCCTGTGCTTCCCCCTGAACTTCATCTCTTTTGTGCTTTTAAAAATGTTATAATGGCCCTCTTGTTTTTATCACTATTGCTAACCTCCCTAACCCCTGATCTCCATCACCTCCATCAAAAAACTGAGATAAAGAAAGAGTAAAGAAACCCGAACTCTTATAAAAAATAAGTATATCAAGCAAAACAAATCCTCATGGTGGTGTTGTCCAAAAATATGTATTTCTTTACCTTGTGCTTATCACCACTCTTTCAGGAGGTGGATAGCATGCTTCATCGTAGCTCCTTTAGAGACATGGTTGTTGCTTTGATCAGAATTCTTAAGTTTCAATTTTATTTTTCTTTATGATATTGTTGTCCTGGTATAAATTCTTCTGGTTCTGCTCACTTCACTCTACATCAGATCACACTACCCAGGGTTCTTTTAAATGGCCTCTTTCATCATGTCTTACAGAGCAGCAATATTCCATTACATTCTTACATTACAATTTGTTCAGCCATTTATTTCTGAGGCAATCTAAAGTACCTCCTTAGACTCTAGTTATTTTATTTTTCTGATCTTTTAAATCACCCTTCAGGATTAGGGAGTTTATTTTGCTTGTGATTATACCTT